TAACCCATAGCCCATGCTACAGCATAACTAGGAGGCAGAATATTACAAACTTTAATTTACATGTACGTCAAGAAATAAAAATCTAGGACCAACACAGTCGGTTCTGGAGCCCACACCAAAATGAAAAATCAGGTGACAATTTCACAGAAGAGAAAATGATGAAGAGTCCTTTTAAGGCAGAACACAGATAATATCAACCAGAGTTTACCCATAGGTGAAACGCTAAGAATAAGTCAGAGATGTGATGGATCAGAGCTATAACCTCTGGGGAACTACAAGAAAGGAGCTGGGAAATCCATGGGACCAAAGGCGGCGTCGGGATGGGGAAGAGTATTGTATAAGATTGGTGATGAAAGAAAAGATGGAAACAGTTAAAAATGAAGTCCCTACTAAATGGTATCAAAATATCCAAAGAGTCATCTATCTCCCCAAAGTTTCCATTTATTAAAGTAAATGTACTTCACTGCAGAAACTGAAGAGGGCACTCTTAAATTGTATAAGCCACCCAACATCTTCAGCAATTCCAACAAATCAGAGTAGAAATGGACAAAGGAAACTTTGAAATAAGAAAATAGATTGTGTAGAAACCCAAAATCAACTCCAAAATAAAGACTCAAGTAAAGGTACTCAAGGTAGAACAGATATGACTAAACTGTAGTAAGTAACATATAGAACAGAAATGAAAACCAAAAGAAAAAGGAGAAGGGGACCTATGAAAAAAAGTACAGAATAAAAGTGATAGATATAAAAGACAAAGAAGATGTGATATGTGTATAAAGTCTCTGAAAAAAAGAAAAATATAACAATGGAACAGATTTTACTTTTTATTGGAAATTACATGCACAGAATTAGGATAAATATTATCCTTGGTTCCTAAAACTTTACTGTTTCAAACAGGGCCCACTTTTATTTATATGGCTAATTCAAAACTTTTTATACGATAATAAATGCCAGCAAATACAAACAAAAGCTAGGACTTGGAAATAATCAGCATCTAATCAATGAGAGGGTTCCGCTTACAAAGCCATCCCTCTGCTTTCCCCTGCGCTTTATCAGGAATCCAGTGTTCGCCATGCTTTTGTTGTCTTTTTTAATGTAATTTTATTGTACCTACATATTCGTAAAATCATCAAAAATAATGTCAAACACCTCCTTATCTGATAATTAGCCATATGTTTCTCCTCTTCTATGAAATACCTGTTTGATTCTCTTGCTCACTTCTCTTTTGGGCTGTTTGTGTTCCTATGGATTGGTTGGAATTTTTATTCTTGATATTTTATGAGTTGTGAGAATTGTGAATATTTTTTCAGTGTTGTAACTTATCTTTTTACTTTCTTAAAGGCCTCTTTTGAAGAACAAAATTCTTTTTGTGTATTGTTTAAGAAAGCACCCCTACTCAAAGATATCCAGCTACATTTTTCCACCAAGTGCTTTAAAGTTTTGTTTTGGACCCTTAAGGCCTTAATTAATTTGGGGTTGAATTATGCATATAATGTGAAGTAGTGATCCAATTTCATTTTTTTCCATGTATTTTTCTAGCTCTAATTAATAAACAGTTCCTTCCTTCCTCTACCCATCTGACATACCACTGTGCATTTACCAAAGTTTCATTCTCACATGTGTTGTTCCTAGAGTCTCTATTCCATTCCATAGTCAATTTGTCTACCTCTACATAAATGCCATACTGTCTTAATTTTATTATTCTGTCCTAAGTCCTGATATCTATTGATATCTATATATCTAGTACAGTCCCCCTGCTCTTCTTCAGATGTGTCCTGGCTATTCTTAACCCTTTACTTTTCATATAAATTATAGAAGCATCCATGAAAACTCTTGTTTAATTCAGATTAGAATTGTACTGAAACTTTACATCAACTTTGGGAAGACTGAAATCTATTTGATTGTAAGTTTCCCTATCCACAAGCATGGCATATCCTCCATTCCTAAATTCCTCTCAGCAATTTTGTAGTTTTCAATGTGGCATTCTTTAATATTCCCTGATTTTTACATATATACATGGATATATAAATATACAATGTAATATATAATGTATAAGCATATATTATATAAAATATATATACATGTAACTACTACCCATATCATTTCCAGCTCCCCTGAGATCACTCCCTTGTGCCCTTTCTTAGTCAATATCTCCATTCACAAAGTAATCACTATTCTGATCTCTATCACCATAGATTCATTCTGCCTATTATTTACCATCATATAAATAAAATCATACTGTATGTTCTTTTTGAGTTTGTGTCTGGCTGCTTTCACTCAACTTTATATCTGAACTTCATTTGTAATCTTCTAATTGCACTAGTTCATTCTTTATCATATAATATTCCATTATGTGACTATCACAATTTATTTATTCTATTGTTCATGGACATTCAAGTTGTACCAGTTGATTGTCATAAGTAACTATAATGAAAACTGTTATGAACATTACTCCATATGTATTAAGTTGTGCACTGAAGAATTAAATCACAATGTATATAAGTTATGCCTCAATTTTAAAAATCTATTGAAAAATAAAGAAATCGGTGGAACTACAAGGACAAGAAACAGAGACTACATAGAAGATTTTAATAAATCTCTCTCTGCAATTAATAGAACCACCAGACAAAAGTTTATTAAGGAATTTAGGTAATTTAAATCAACCTTCTCATTAAAGACAACTTATATAAAGCTGGCCAAAAGCAACGACAACCATATGATTCATAGCATCAAAGAACTAACATGGATAGGATCTAGAGTAAATCAGAGAACTGGAACAGATAAGGTTACTTTTCAGCTGGGTGCACTTATCGACTGCATAAGATGCTGCTGGGAGTCTAACAGGATGTGCAGCACTTGAAAGCCTTGCATGGCTAGAGGGGCCAAGGATAATAATCTAGAATCCATCAAGAGGAGAGAGCTGCGGTAAATCTCTCTCACTTGGGGTTGGAGTAAGGTTAACCAAAATTAAATAGGCCTTTAAAGGACTATAATCCACCTTTGAAATTATCCTAATCCCTGAAATTCGATAGAGATGATTCTAAATTACTAGTGACCCAGGTGCCAGAAAGAAACTAGAAACAGATACTCAGAAATTCCAGATATTGAGGAAAAAGTGTTAGAATCATACTTTAAAATAATTATGCTTGCTATGTTCAAAGAGATCAAAGATAAGTCTGAGAATTTCAGCAGGGAACTAAAAAACATTTAAAAAATCAAATAGTGGAGATCTGAAAAAATATATTAACCATAATTAAGTATTCGGTGAATGGATTTATAAGTAGAATAATCACAGCCAGAGAACTGGTAAGACTGGAAAATAGGTCAGAAAACAAACACAATATGAATATAAAGAGGATAGGAAAAAAAGGAGAGGGACTGAGAAACATAAAAGACACTGTGAGAAAATATAATATACATGTAATTGAAGTCCTAGGAGAAGAGAGAAACGGGGGCAGAAAAAAATTTAAAGAAATAATGTAAAATGAAAACTACAGGACTCTGATGAAAGAACTTGAACAAGATTCAAACAAATGGAACAATATCCCGTGTTCATGGATTGAAAACAATTAAGGTCAAAATGTCCATACTACCCAAAGCCATCTATAGATCCAGTACAATTCCTATCAAATTTCCAATGGCATTTTACACAGAAATAGAAAAAAAAACAAAACTAAAATGTCTATGGAGCCACGGAGGACTCTGAATAACCAAAGCAATCTTGAGAAAAAATAACAACGTTGGAGGCATCACACTTCCTGATCTCAAACTATACTACAAAGCTATAGTAATTAAAACAGTACAGTACTGGCATGAAAACAGACACATAGACCAGCGGAACAAAAGAAAGAGCCCAGAAATAAACCCCTACATATCTAGTCAACTAACATTTAATACAAAGCCAAGAATACTCAATGGGGAAAGACTAGTTAGTCTCTTCAATAAATGGTGTTGGGGAAACTGGATAATCACATGCAGAAAAATGAAACTGAACCCCTATCTTACACCACTCACAATTAACTTGAAATGACTTAAACATAAGATCTAATATCATAAAATTCCTAGAAGAAAATACAAAAAAAAAGCTCCTTGACACGCATCTTGGCAATGACATTTCGGATATGACACCAAAAGCACAAGCAACAAAAGCCAAAATAAAAGTTTTTGCACAGCAAAAGAAACAATCGACAAAATGAAAAGGCAACGTATGGAATGGGAGAAAATATTTGCAAATAATATATTGAATAAGGGATTAATATCAAAAAATATGTAAAGAACTCATCCAACTCAATAACAAAAAACAAACGCTCCAATTAAAAATGGGCAGAGGAACTGAACAAAAATTTTACAAAGAAGATATATGAACAGGTACATGAAAAGGTGTTCAATGTTATTAATCATCAGAGAAATGCAAATCAAAACCACAAAGATATTACCTCATACCTATTAGAATGGTTATCATCAAGAAGACAAGAGATAAGTGTTGGAGAAGATAGATAAAGAGTATTCCCCAACTCATTTTAAAATGTAGCAAGGATAATATTCAACTATATCAGTCATTAAAATGATGAAATTATTTTGTATATTTAAAAATATCTGCTTTCCCGAGCCAATACCATGTGCAACTCCCCCAGAGGTATCCCTGGATGTCAGAATCATTTATCTTCCAAAGAGTTCATACCTGGCAAAGGGTCTCCAGGACTCTGTTACACTCTGTGGATGGCATTCTAATTGAACAATGCCCATGCCAGTCACAAAATAACCTCATCTCCTAGGTACCACCACTATTGGTTTCTCACAGGGATAAGTTAGGCCCTGACTTTCTCTTTTGTTTGGTTCTTTGGAGTTCAGGGCTGACACACCATGGGGCAACATTGGTGCTCACCAGTCATCCCACTGCAACTGCCACAAGATGCCCTCTTTTGCCATATGTCCATTCTATACATACCCAACTCCCATTGGTAGAGGACCATCTTTATAACATAGATGCATTCAAACTACTAATCATGTTCAGGTACATGTCTTAACACTTTATTAAGTAAAGCATTAGTTAAGGTCATTGTTCATCAACAATGCCTTGAGGTCAGAATGATCAATTAGATCATTCTGGATAATTTGGGAAGTATCTAAGAATAGCTGTGTAGCTCCAAAAAGGGAGCAAAATCAAATGTTTCAACAGCAGAAATATATTGTTTGCTATTACTTAATAGGCTTGGTTTGCATAGAAGATTTTTACGTGAAACTATTAGTATAGTTTCAAAAATTATTGTGTATTATAACAGCTATCAGTTATTGAGCACTTACCAAGTGCTAGGTACTGTTCTAAGTATTTTTACATTATCTAGTTAAGCCTTATAATAATCCCAAGATAGGCATTATAATCCACACTTTTCAGATGAAGAAATTGAGGTTCGTGAGATTAAATGATTTACTGAGTAATATAATGGTAGTAAGTGGCAGGGTCAAGATTCAAGTCTGAGCACTATGATTCCAAAACCCATGCTCTTCACCACTATGACTTTCAAGCAGACACATGTAAGTGGTCAAACTGGATCCTTTTAGCCACATAACACTTTACGTGTGACCCCAGAAATAATTGTGAAGCATTACAAATAATTTTTACATCAAAACTATATTACATTATTTAACTTAATGTAACTTTGTGACATTATAAAAAATTTTATGTAACTGATGTTACAGAGACAAAATAGACAAGGAAAAGAAGCTGCTGTTGCTATAAGCCATGCTTTGTATTTATCCTATGGCCCCACAAATCATGACAGCCTTGGTTGCTTTCCAATACTTTCAAACAGTTGTGGTTTTTGATGCTGCTTAATTTAGTCCGGATTTTATAGTCATTCTCAGCAGGAGAGTTGGTCTGGTACAAGCTACTCCATCATAGCCATAAGTATGGAATGGAGCTTTATAGATAATTCTGATGCTCTTCTCTGGGTAAAACTTACTGTTTAGGTTATTACCTCATTCTAAAGTTATAGTAATCAAGACCATGCACTATTGACATAAAGATAAAATAAAGATCAATAGAATGGAATTGAGAGTCCAGAAATAAATCATACATTTAAGATCAATTAATTGTTGACAAGAATGCCAAAACCATTCAATAATCTTTTCAACAAATTGTGCTAAGACAACTAGAGAACTGTATGCAAAAGAATTAAAGTAGACCCCCCATCTCACAGCACATACAAAAATGATCTTGAAATGGATCAAAAATTAAAATAAAAGAGCTAAAAGTAGAAAACTCTTATAAGAAAACATTAGTATGAATCTTCATGATCTTGGATTATCTTTAGATATGATACCAAAAGAAGTGACAAAAGAAAATACAAAGTAGACTTCACGTAATTTAAAAACTTTTGTGCTTCAAAGGACCCTATCAAGAATGAAAAAACGACAACCCATAAAACAGGAGAAATTATTTGCAAATTGTGTATATGATAAAAAGTGTAGTACCCAGAAGGTATAAAGAAGTCTTACAACTTGACAAGTACCCAATTTTTAAAATAAGCAAAGGATATGTCTCCAAAGAACATACAAATGGCCAATAAGCACGTGAAAAGATGCTCCATATCATTTGCCATCAGAGAAATGCAAATCAAAACCATAGCATGACCCTTTATACACATTAGTATGGCTATAATAAATAAGACAGACAATAACAAGTTCTGGCAAGGATATACAGAAACCATACATTGGTGATGGGAATGCTGCTTTGCAAAACACTTCGCAGTTCCTCAAAAAGTTAAACATAAAGTTAAACCACATTGGACATTTTCCTGGAAACATGGCGGAGTGAGAGATGTCCTCAAATCTCTCCCCTTGAATCAACAATATGCTCAACATCTAAAACTCAACAAAAAACACCCAAACTGCACACCAGCATGTCTGAGCATGGGATCTGCGCAAAAGAACTACCACAGGTCAGAACCCCAGGTGTCGGGCAGTGGACTGGGAGAAATAAAGAAGCTACCTCTTGCAGCCACCAGAGCTACCTGTAGGAAGAGGGGGAGGGGAGAAGGAGTGGCAAGTTCCCTGCCTGGGATTGCTGTGAGCTCCCTGCCAACGGCCGGGAGAAGCAGAAGGGCAAAAAAACAAGAGTTGATTTTTACTGGCCGCGGTTGCAAAACCGAGGCTGAGCCGCAGCCTCCAACCTCCCACCCAGAGGGCCACTACCCCCATACCCTCCGAGACTGAACAACACAGAGCCCAGGTGTTTCTGAGTGAACGCTACCGAAACTGATGCTAACGTTGACAGGGACTGGAACTGAGGATAATGAGCGTGATTGAATATCTATCAGAAAATAAAAAGGCATTTTTAAGGCTTTCTATAAAGCAAGGATGCAAGAGGCTTAGATGCCACCTACTGGAAGCCAAAAGAAAAGCGCCTTCTTTGCAGAAAGACCTTTATATATTAAATCTTCTTTCTGCAAAAAAAAAAGGCAGAATACATTTCCATTAATGTCCAGGTGGAGAAATAGCCCATTAAACACACATGAACAACCAAGGTGACAAAGCATCTCAGAAAGAAAGAGAAAAATCTCCAGAAAATAAGCTGAAAGACATAGAAATCTGAAACTTAAATGACAGAGAATTCAGAATGGCACTTCTGAAAAAACTCAGTGAATTCCGAAAAGAGTCATTTCAACAATTTCAGGAATTGAAAAAACAACTAGATGAGCAGAGCAAGGAGACTGAAACCCTCAAAAAGAACCAAATAGAACTTCTGGAGAAAAAAACACACTGCAAGAGTTGAAAAATGAAATAACAAGCTTGGGAAATAGAGTTGACCAAATGGAGGAAAGGATCAGTGATATCAAAGACAGAAATCTAAAAATAAATCAGAAGGAAGAAAAGAAAAACATAAGAATGAAAAAAAAAGAAAGAAAAAATCAAGAACTAGTTGATGCTATCAGGAGAGGAAACATAAGAATATGGGCATTATTGAAGGTGAGAAAAAGATGGAGGAACTAGAAAGCATTTTCAGACAAATAGTTGATGAGAATTTCCCAAATCTAAGAAATCAGCTGGAGCTTGGAATTCAAGAAGTCAACAAAACATCCAATTATCTCAACCCAAAAAGGCCTTCACCAAGACACATTGTATTAAAATTATCAAAATCAGTAACAAAGACAGAATTCTCAGGGCAGCCAGGGGAAAGAAAATGGTAACTTATAAAGGAAAACCCATTAGATTATCATCGGATTCTTAGCACATACATTGAAAGACTGAAAGAGGTGGAATGAAATATTCAAAATATTAAGTGAAAGATACCACTAGCCTAGAATAATGTATCCAGCAAAGCTCTCCTTTAGGTATGAAGGAGAAATTAAGATCTTTTCAGATATACAATAATTGAGGGAATTCTTCACTACGAGTCCTGCACTACAGGAAAACCTGAAAGTGGTCAGCGCACTTAAAATGACAAATTAAAAAAAAAGACTTAATAGAAGTCAAGTGCCTACCAGGCAACTAG